TTTTTTTACAGAATTGTTTTAAGCTTATTTTACAATGTATGTTTTGCTGTGTTTTGTTTTAAGAACTATCAGAGCATCAAATATCTCAGAAAACACAGTTATTGTTGCTGTTGTATGCAGGTAAACTTTACTTTTTTCCAGTATTGAAATTCCAGCATCAGTGTAATGTTTGCTCTTCCAGATGGTTGAATAATTATTTGTAATAATTATTTGTAATAATTATTTGTAATAATTATCAGTAAGTTTGGCCTTACTGATTTTTATTTCATTTACTTCTCCAAGTAGCTTCATGTAGAGAGCATCTGTGAATTTGAACTGTCGCCTACTTTACAAATAGGCAAAGCTTAAAACCAAAACCAAATTCACTGTCATGTAGTCAGTTCGGACTCACGGCCCCACTGGAGGACAGAGTAGAATTGCCCCTGTGCATTTCCGAGACTATGCCTCTTTCAGAGAGGGTAGGAAGCCTCGTCTTTCTCCCAAGAAGCAGCTGGTGGTTTCCAACTGCGGATCTTGTGGTTAGCAGTCCTACCAGTAACCCACTACACTACCAGACCTCCTTTTTAGAAACAGGTAAACTGTCAGGGAATTCCATCCCTAAATTTTTTTTTTTCCTAGTGGTATCATCTTAGGGGCTTATAACTCCAGATTTCCATGAAGATTTCAATTGTAGAGGAGTAGGCAAAATCTTTTATTTGGAAGTGAAGAAAAAATAGAAATATGTGAGAGGGCAGTTTTGAAATAAATGTTATTTAACTTACATATTTTAATAGCAATAAGAAATAACTGTGTCCTTTAAACTTTTCTCCTGAGCTGTTGGTGGGGAAGAAGGGCCTTTTTTTCTTTTTTTTAAAAATAAACTGAAAGTGGAAGCAAACAGACGATCTAATTATTATAAAATCTTTACATATTAAATAGATGTAATTGCTAAAAGACAATCTCTGAACTTTTGCTATGTTGTTTTGAAGGACGGAAAAAGAAGAACCATCTGTATTGCCCTTCGTTAATGCTGGCTTTACAAGGGTATGTACTAGCTTCTTTATTATGCAAGTATAATTTATTATGGGAAATGATTTTCTCACAGTTTTATGCCCAGCAAAACTATTGAATTATTTGAAGTTAAAAAAAATCCTTGTGCTATATTAGATTTGGTATAACTTTATAGCCAGATAACAATCTATCATACTTTCTTGTTCTCTGAAAGCAATGTCTGCTAAATTCCTATAAATGTATTAATGATTTTACTCGTTACCATTATACCCTGGCATATATTCTTATAATGTTTATATGTGTGCATACAGCTTTATTAGATTTGTGATTCTAGAAATAAGGTAACCCAAACACTATTCAATCTATTGATTTCTCTTAAGCCAGAATTCTGCTGGGGACTTTGGTCAGTAGTTTACAAATGAGGCCTTGGAAATCGTGGTGGAGAAAATTTAAAAAGGCTGACCCTTAGGCAGATTTCTAGCTCACATTTGCATCAGTGAGGTAGTTAAGAAACTTCAAGCTATGCGTTTAATTTAAAGTGGTTTGGGAAGAGTAGTATTGTTAGGTACCTGGCAGAAGTGAAGACAAATCCTTCCCAAAGGAAGACACCTTTGTCTTTGGCTTCAGAAAGCCTCCACAAGTCCAGGAACTGTTACAGAGAAAGAGGTAGCACTCTGTCAAAGCTCATAAATCCTCAGAGTCATAACATCATGACTAAGAACTAGATATTCTTCAGATTGTGGTATTTTCAGATATGGATAATAAAGCAATTATACAATGTAAAAAAAAGAAGATAACATAAGCCTAAAGTTATCAGAAAGGAATAGAAAACTATAAAAAGTGATATAGCCAATTTTAAACAATAAATTTGAGCGTTGAGAATTCAAACATAACTGAAAAATGTTGAACTTAGTCAATGGGTCAGCAGAAATTATCCAGGATGTAGACCAGAAATATAATGATAGAAAATAAGTCAGAGAGGTTAGGAGCTGTTGAGAATAGAGTGTGAAGGGTTAGCACATAATATAATTGGAGCTATAACTCCCAGGGGACGGGCAACATAAAAGTGGGTGAAGGGAGACATTAGTCAGTGTAAGACCTGAAAAAATGACAATAATTTATAAATTATTCAAGGGTTTACGAGGGAGGGAGGTATAAACACGAGGAGCTGATACCAAGGACTCAAGTAGAAAGAAAATTTTTTGAAAATGATGATGGCAACAAATGTGCTTGACACAATGAATGGATGGATTGTGATAAGAGGTGTATGAGCCCCCAATAAAATGATTTTATATACATATAAATAATTGGAGCTTCAGAAGGAAAGGAGAGAGAATGGGGCAGATAAAATATTTGAAGCGTGAATGAGAATTTTCAGAACTGATGGAAGTGAAAGACTAGTTCACAGATTCAAAAATTGTAGCAAATCCTAAGTAAATAAAAAGAAGACACATCATTGTAACTCCCCCAAATATGAAAATCAAAGAGAAAATTTTTTAAAATCAGAAGAGAAAATAATTACCTTCAAAAATGAGACTGATAGGCAGTTTGTCAACAGCAAGGGAAACAGCGGAATAATACTGTTCTTTTTTATTTTAATAAATCATTTTATTGGAGGCTCTTACAGCTCTTATAACAATCCATACATCAATTGGATCAAGCACATTTGTACATATATTGCCATCATCATTTCCAAAACATTTTCATTCTACTTGAGCCCTTGGCATCAGTTCCTCATTTTATTCCTCCCTCCTTCATGAACCCTTGATAATTTATAAATTATTATTATTTTCATACCTTACACAGACTGCTGTCTCCCGTCACCCATGTTCCTGTTGTTCATCTCCCTTGGCGGGGGTGGAGGGGCAGTTATATGTAGATCATTGTGATCAATTTCCCTTTTCTTACAACACCTTCCCCTACCTACTCTCATGGTATCACTACTCCCATTATTGTTCCTGAGGGGTTTATCTATCCTGGATTCCATGTGTTGAGAGCTCTTATCAGTACCAGTGTACATGCTCTGGTCTAGCTGGATTTGTAAGGTAGAATTGGGGTCATGATAGTAGGGGGACAGGGAAAGCATTAAAGAACTAGAGGAAAGTTGTATGTTCTGTCGGTGTTACATTGCACCCTGAATGGGTTATCCCTTTCTTGTGACTCTTCTGTGAGGGGAAGTCCACTTGTTTACAGATGGGCTTTGGGTGTCCACCCCCCGCCCCCACTTCACATCAATATGATTGTTTATTCTGGATCTTCAGAAGCCTGATCCCATTGATATCTCATGATCACACAGTATGCTTCTTCCATGTGGGCTTGGTTGCTTCTCAGCTAGATGGCCAATTGTTTATCTTCAAGTCTTTAAGACCCTAGATGCTATATCTTTTGATAGCTGGACACCATCAGCTTTCTTTACCACGTTTGCTTATGCAACCATTTTGTCTTCAGTGATAGTGTTAGGAAGGTGAGCCTCACAGAATACTAGGTTATTAGAACAAAGTGTTTTTTGTGTTGATGCAGTACTTGAATAGAGGCCCAGTGTCCATCTGCGACCTTTCTTATTTAATATAATATATGTACCTAGAACTATGCCCCTATCATTATATATAAATACATTTACATATGTACATGCCTGTATTTAGATCTCTATAATGTCCTTTGCCTCCTAGTTTCCTCTCTTTCCTTTTACTTTCCTCCTGTCCCACTATCATGTTCAACCTTCCTTCAGTTCCTAGTAATTCCTCTTGATCAGGCATTCAACACTCTCCTCATCATTGATTTTAGGTCACTTGTTGTTCCTGGGTTTGTTGGCTCCCCACTTCCTTTCACCAACCTCCCCCTCTCACATGTCCCCCTCCCCTGGAACCATTGATCCTGTTGTTTTCTCCTCAGGATTGTTTATCCTTCCTAGCTTATCCAGATAGATGTGGGGGGGAAAAAAGAATTAAAAACAACAACAACAAAAGGAAAGCCTATAAATAGTTCCAGGTTTGTCTGTTGACCTTTATGAGTGCTTTTGGAATAATGTTCTTAATATTAGTCCTTAATATTTATTTATTAGCATAGAAGAAAATTGTTGCTAATGTAGAATTTTATACCCAGCAAAAACATCTATTAAAAATGGGATGAACTAAAGACTTTAAGATGAAAACTGAGGGTTCATAACTAGCAGATCTTCACAAAAGGTCATCCTAAAGGAAGCAGTTAAAACAGAATGAAGGTGATGCAAAAGTGAATGAAGGGCAAGTGAAATGGTGAATATGTGGTAAACGGCATTTACTACGTAAAACAGTAGGTATAATGTCTAGTTCAACTAGTGACTACAAAGAGGAAACAGCTGCAGCCCAACAATGATACCAGCCATGTTGCCATTCACCGTTAGGGCAAAAGAAAAGTACTTGGGGGTGGTTTTTTAAAAATTTATATCTATTTACCAGACCTAAAGGCGCCCTGGTGGTGCTTTCAAGGAGCATTGGACTACTGTTTACAAAACCATCAGACGCTCTGTGGATGAAAGCTGTCTGAGGTTTCATCAGATGAGGTTGTCTGTTCCTATAAAGATTTATACTTGGGATATCCGATGTAGGGTCACTATGAGTCAGAATTGACTTAAACCAGATCTAAACCACCATCCCCTCCAAGGGAGAAAGACAGGGCTTTCTACTCCCATGAACAGTTACAGTCTCGGAAACGCACAGGGGCACTTCTACCCTGTCCAGTAGGCTCGCAAAGTGTCAGCATCGACTTGATGGCAATGAGCTTTGTGTTTTGGTTTTGAGAGCACATAATACTCTTGCAACAGCAGGGCGATTTTAATATTAGCTCGTCATTTAACTTCTAGGTGTTTGCAAGGTTTGTGGTGGAGGTAAAACATTCTCATGGGGTTACCTAGGAGAAATGGGATGTGGCTTGCAGTTCAAATATCTGAAGTTTTCATCTTTGTGGGAAATATGTGCAATAGAATATATCTACCTGGGAGATTTTCTGTTCAGCAGGGAAAGGAGGTCTCTACATTGTTATTGTTTGTTAAAGCCTTGTAGATAATCCCAAGAAGCAGCCAAGAATTGAAGACCACTAAGGGAGGCCTAGCAAGTTGGGGCTTAAGTCCTAACAGTAGATATGATGTATTTAGGAGAATGTGGGATTGAGTTGGCTTAGGACGTCTGCTGTATTTGTGGCTCTGCTTGCTTGCGGGATGGGGTTCAGATGAGGAGACTGATGTCTGAGCAAAGCATGTTATCACATGCTTCCTGAACATTCCAGACCCAATACCCATTTTCCATCTTCTGTGCTCTTTGAGATCCCTGAGACATAAGTGAATACTGGGGAGAGTCAGAAAAGACAATATTCAAGATGCTATAAAACAGGCAGAGCTCAGAGGAGAGGCCAGATAGTAGAAACAAGATGCTATATTTTAGTCACATGTGTTAGGATTTAACCTTACTCTAGTGGTTACATGTTGGGCTGTTAAACTCAAGGTCAGCAGCTGCTCTGTGGGAGAAAGACCAGGTTTTCTACTCCCATAAATAGTTAGTCTCAAAAACCCAACGAGGTGGTTCTACCCTGTCAATAAGGTTGCTTTAGGATGCTATGAGTTGGAATTGACTTGATGGCAGTGAGTGAGTTCTACCTTTGGATCCAACATGTTTAGTAAGTATGTACATTCATGCCCATGGTTGCATGCATGGGTGGCCATGTGTTGAAATATACATAGGCATTTCTCTCCATCCCAAGATCTGACCTGCAGACCAGATGCATTGTCATGAACCAAGTCTTCCAGACAACTGGAAACCCCTTAATTGTCTCAAGCCCCTACACTTTCGCTGCTGGCAGTGGCACAAATACTATGCTCAGAAGTCGCTCTTGTGTGTTCTTGCCTAGTCAGTAATAGGTGCCTGTGTGGACTGGCAATGTTCTTGGATGTTTTTGTAGCATCTGTGCTAATCGGGGGAGGGATACAGGTCTAGGACTCCTTCCCTCACAGCAGATATGTAGATGTGTCACTTCCATGAGACTTCTAAGGATGAGAAGGACTTATATTTTAGCCAGCATGAAATTACTGTGCCCATAACCAACAGTCCTTGCCTTCCCTCCAGAGGATGGCAATAGCTGTACTTGTCCTTCATGTAGCAATATGTAGTTACATTGCCTTTTTCATCATCTCATTTTATTCTCTCAGTGATCTGCAGTAGTAGGAGTAGCATTTGTCTTACTTCAAACATAAGGGAACAGGTTTTCTGAGATGGCTTACTTAAGGTCATACAACTTTTAAGGCATGAACTTGGGACTGAAGTGTTGGGTTTCCTATAGCACTCAGACAAGACCCTGACTACCTGTTCACATGAAATATCTGCCTTTGCACTGGCAACAGAAGGAACTCTGGAAGGTGCCCCGTCTCCTTACCTTCTTCCTTAATCAGATTCGATGTGATCTATTTATTGAGCAGATAAAAACAAAGAAATGTTCACAGAAATAGGCATGAGTTCACAAGAAGTGGTGTAGTGGTTATGCATTGAGCTGCAATCCACATGATCAGCGGTTTGAAACCACCAGCACCTCTGCCAGAGAAAGACTGGCTTTCTACTCCCTTAAACAGTTACAGTCTCAGAAACCCACAGGGGATCTCTGAGTCAGCATTGACTCGGTGGCAGTGAGAAATGTTCACAAGTAAGTTTTACATCTGAATGGACCTATGTGACAGAACATAGTGGCTTCTAAGATATCTTCACGGGACACATCATTTGGTTGTGTGGATGTGTGCTTCTTGGATCCATGTAATTTGTTTTAGTTGAAATGAAATGTTTCCATTATGCAAATGTTATGAAAAGAGAGTTTATACCCCAGCGATAAATACTAGGCAATCTATAACTGTTGTCAGTTTCTCTACGGTGGTTTCAACCAAAAATCTGTCTCAGAAGTACAGCCAGAGTGCTCTTTACAAGCAAGTACGGCAAGAATTCATTACACAAATTTTAGACAGGTTATCAGAAGGGACCAGTCCCTGAAAAGGATATAATGCTTGGTAAAATAGAGTGTCAGGGACCCTCAAGGAGATGGATTGACACAGTGGCTACCAGAGTGTGTCTCAAACATAATATGATTGTACATAGGGTCCCTGTGACACAGTTACACCCAACAACAACCAGGTAGCAAATTATTGTCTCCATTGAGGTTGAGTTGAGATAACATGCAGGTGCACATAGAAATGGTTGCCTATTTTTGCTTGCTCTGAGCTTGCAGAAATTTATAGAGGATTAAATAATGCTATTAATAAGTGAATGTATTCTAAAAGCTAAATAGCAATAGGATTTTAGTTCATAAATGTCTCCTCCATATTTTAGCCTCAGCTTTTATCAGTGCCATGCAGACAATCCAAAACCTCTTAACTCAAACCAATAAAAGAAAAATATTCTAAAACGGTATTAAAAAATACAGTTTAAAAAAAAGTTAATTTGGTATCCATAAATTTCATCTCTCATCTTCTGTTCATCATTAATGATAAAGTGTATTTTAGAATTCGGTTGCCAAGATGAAGTACTTGTTAAGAAGCATTATTTGTGAGGAGCTGATACCAAGGGCTCATGTAGAAGGAGAATGTTTTGAGAATGATGATGGCAACAAATGTACAAATGTGCTTGACACAATGGATGTATGTATGGATTGTGATAAGGGTTGTATGAGCCCCCGATAAAATGATTTTTAAAAAATGACAAAAACAAAAGAAGCATTATTTGTATTGAATACATGAGTTTTTACAGATGCATTTATATTTATTCACATACTTCACCTTTCTTTTGTAGAGATATTTCGAAAACTCCAGCATCATGGCCTGTTACAATGAGCTCATCCAGCTGGAGTATGGAGAAGTTCGATCCCAACTGAAACTCAGGTAACTCGTCGACTGCTGGGAAGACCCTGGGTGGCCAGGCCAGTGTCGTGAGTGACAGTTTTGCTGGTGGTTCCTCTGTAGCCATAACTGATCTCTTGTTAAAATGGGATGTGGCAGTGAGGAGGGAGATGGCTTGATTTCTGGTGATCCCCGTAGTGATTGGAGACCCTCATTTAAAGAAGGGCACCAAAAGAACTCAGTGAACAAAAGCAGGACATACTCAGTACTGTATATACTCAATTATTGGTTTTGGTTTTTTTAAGAAAAAATGCTTTCACACACACAAACATCCTGTTGTAAACACTGGTTATCTCTCGGAGATGACGTTTTTTCTTCTGTTGGTGGTGCTGTCTGCTAACTACAAAGTGAGCAGTTCTCTGCCAGGCACTGCAGTGGAGAAAGACGAGGCAGTCTACTCCCATGAAGCTTCTCAACCTCGGAAACCCTACATAGGATTGCTTCGAGTTGAAATTGACTTGATGGTAGTGGGTTTCGATTTTTAAAAAATAGTGTTTTATAATTAGCTCTTGATAATGTTTTTGTTTTAAAGTGAAATAAAGATGAAAGCCTGGTTCCTTGTAGAGCAAGAAAAACAGAAAAATATTTAATGTAGAATGATGAAACTCTGTCTCCTTTAGTCAATCACTGTCCGGTAAATGCAATCACTGACCCTGTCTTAATCCCTAAGAACCTTTGTAATATGGGCACTTCCCGTCATCATCATTGCTATTCTCTTAGTTTAGGTCACTATCATCTCTTACCTGGATGACTGACATAGACAGTTGGTCCCCCCACATTTAATCTGCAGTAATACTCCTTCTGTGTTACTGTTCTGCGGCTCCCCATGGCCTCCAGGATACAGTCCAAACTCCAAATTGTGGCCCTCTGGGTTCTCGCTGCTTGTCTATCACTTATCCTTGTGGCTTCACCTCTCATTGTGCCCTGACAGCCAAATGGAAATGCAGTAGTTCCTGGCTTTTTAAAAGTTTGCTTTATGCAACTTTGCTCTTATGAAACACCTCCCTGCATTTGGACCTATTTTTGCTAACAGAAAAAATGTCAAAAGAGGATTTTCACTTTCATGAAAAAAAAATATGAAAAATTAAACCAGCATTTAGCATTTGTTTTGCAGCAAGCCTTTTAAGAGCCAGCTTGCTCCTCAAGCATGAGAGTGCATTACTAAGTTTCTTCCTGGGAAGTACAGTCAGTCTCTCTGCATGCAGCCAGCATAGCTTTGAGCTGTGTCTCCCAACAATTTATGTCAGTGTTACTTTGTGTCTTATTTGGGCAGGCTATTTTTTGGAATGCTAAAGAAATTTCCCTATATACATTAGTGGTAATTGCTGTATACCATTTTGGCTTATGAAATATTTCACAGGAACACACTACTTTTGGATATCCGGTGAAACCTACATAAAAATGTGAAGAGAAAGAAAATATGGAGCTATAAAGTTATAGAAACAGCATCGTTCTACTGGATATTAAAATGTATTTAAAAGTTGTACCAAGGAACTCTGTTACTGCTAGATTAGTGAGCTAGAGTAAGTCTAGAAAGAGACAGTACATTTAAGAATTTAGTTTCCAATCTATATGGCATTTTAAGTCAACAGAAGACAGAGTGGATTTTTCTTTTTTTTTAAAATCATTTTATTAGGGGCTCATACAACTCTTATCACAATCCATACATACATCAATTGTGCAAAGCGCATTTGTACATTCATTGCCCTCATTCTCAAAACATGTCCTCTCTACTTAAGCCCCCGGCATTAGGTCCTCATTTTTCCCCTCCCTCCCCGCTCCCCCCTCCCTTATGAGCCCTTGATAATTTATAAATTATTATTTTGTCATATCTTGCCCTGTCCGACGTCTCCCTTCACCCACTTTTCTGCTGTCTGTCCCCCAGGGAGGAGATCACATATAGTTCCTTGTAATCGGTTCCCTCTTTCCAACCCATTCTCCCTCTACCCTCCCAGCATCACCACTCACACCACTGGTCCTGTAGGGATCATCTGCCCTGGATTCCCTGTATTTCCAGTTCCTATCTGTACCAGTGTACATCCTCTGGTCTAGCCAGACTTGCAAGGTAGAATTCATATCATGATGGTGGGAGTGGGGAGGAAACATTTAGGAACTAGAGGAAAGTTGTATTTTTCATCGTTAATCCATCGCCCCCTGATTGGCTCATCTCCTCCCCGAGACCCTTCTGCAAGGGGGTCTCCAGTGGCCTGCTAAGGGGCTTTGGGTCTCCACTCCGCACTCCCCCCATCATTCACTATGGTAAGATTTTTTGTTCTGATGATGCCTTGTACCTGATCCCTTCGACACCTCGTGGTTGCGTAGGCTGGTGTGCTTCTTCCATGTGGGCTTTATTGCTTCTGAGCTTGATGGCCGCTTGATTACCTTCAAGCCTTTAAGACCCTAGACGCTATACTTTTTGATAGCCGGGCACCATCAGCTTTCTTCGCCACATTTGCTTATGCACCCATTTGTCTTCAGTGATCCATTTGACACCTCGTGATCACACAGGCTGATATGTTGTTCCATGTGGGCTTTGTTGCTTCTGAGCTAGATGGCCGCTTGTTTACCTTCAAGCTTTTAAGACCCCAGACGCTGTATCTTTTGATAGCCGGGCACCATCAGCTTTCTTCACCACATTGGCTTATTCACCCGCTTTGTCTTCAGCGGTTGTGTCGGGAAGGTGAGCATCATAGAATGCCAATTTAATAGAAGAAAGTATTCTTGCTTTGAGGGAGTACTTGAGTGGAGGCCCAATGTCCTTCTGCTACCTTAATACTAAACCTATAAATATAGGTACATAGATCTATTTTCCCATCCTCATATAAATATATTTGCATATGTACATGCCTTTATCTAGACCTCTATAAATGCCCCTTTCTCCCCGCTGTTTCCGACAGAGTGGACTTTTCATTGAATAAAATTGTGACAACTGGTTAATTATTTGCAAAGAACATATAAATTCCCATATCACATTCCACTCAAAATAGACTCCAATAAATTTAAAGAGTTAAATGTAAAAATAGAACTACACAAATTGGACAAAGAAGTCATCCAATTCCATAAAGGAAAAGTATCAGAGTAGACCACATAAAGATGGCAAGTTTGTTTAAAGATTTAAAAAGTAAAACCCTTAAATACTGTTAAAATTGTAAACACATGACAGATTCGAAAAAAATATTTGTAACATATAGGACAGACAAATTAGGTTAGTATTATAAACATGTGAAGAGCTTTCATGAACCAATTTTATAAAGGAAGCATAAAAATATATATGAAGCTGTGGTTACGATTGTGTACAAGAAGTATAAATGGTTAATAAATATGAAAAGAGGTACGGCCTCAATAGTAATCAAAGACATGTAAATTGACTGCCATTGAAAAATTTCCCAGGTCTTCAAAAATCAGAAAGAATAACATAGCCCAGTAGTAGAATTTCTCCCACTTCCATGTTATGTCATAAGTGAGAACTTTTTCTTATTTTAAATTTTTAAATAGCTTTTTAAAGGTGCAAGCACACACCAAGTTTTGATCTTTTATGTGACAAGAAGTAGCTAGTTTTTATTAGCTAATCTGCTTTGTTTGTTTAGCAATACCAGGAATAATTTAAAATCATTGTTATTCTTACCATGTTCTTATCTCTCAGCTTTCTTAATAAGCAGGCAGTGGTTTTCTTTGCCCTGTTTTTAGTCTTCTGAGGCAAGAGAATCGCTGCTCCAGCCTTTAGGAGACTTCCTATGTGAGAAAAAACCTAGAAGCAATCAGAATGTGGAGTCTTAAGATATTTGTTGAATAAATTGCCATATAATCATGTAATAGGATATTATATAGTTCTATAAAGTGAGGATTAAAATGGTAATTATTTATATGAAAGTATATTAATATATATCAAATGAGAAAAACATGTTATAAAACTGTAGCATGTGATACACACACACAAAGGGCTTTAAAAAAGTTCCTGGAGAAGTAGACTTTAGAATCGAATGGAATTTTCCCCTGGAGTGTTTGGAGCTGTGCCTGTAGAAGTTGTCTGGAGCACCAATGCATATGTCTAGGTGTTGGGATTTCAAATCACTTGAGCTTATTTTTTGTTAACAGCTTTTTTGAGAGAGACTTCACCTATCAGATAATTCACACACTCAAAATATATAATTCAGTGGCTTTTAGAGTATTGTTATTTACCCTCAAACCGAAAACCTGTACTCTAAAGTTATTACTTTCCCATTCCCTTATTTCATCCATTCCCCTGAGCCCTAGGCAGCTGCTAATCGACTGTCTTTATGGATTTGCTGATTCTCAATATTTCATATAAGTGCAATCATAATAAGTGACCTTTTATTGTCTAATTACTGTAATGTGACCTAATTTTTTTAAAGGTTCATTCGTATCGTCATAGTGGTAGCAGTATAGCAATACTTCATTTTGTTTCATGGCTGAACGATATTCCATTATTTGACTACACCACATTTTGTTCATTCATTAATTGGTGGACAATTGGGTTGTATCCACATTTTGGTTATTATGAGTAATGTTGCTGTCAGCATCTGTGTATAAGTCTTTATGTGGATCTATGTTTTCATTTCTCTTGGGTGTATCCTTAAGGAGTAGAAAAGATGGATCAGAGGGAAAGTCTGTGTTTAACTTTTGAGGAACTACCAAACTTTCCCAAAGGCACTGTGTTTTATATTCCCACCAGTAGTGTTTAAGGGTTCTCATTTTGCTACATCCTCACAGTCTTTTATTATACCCACGGCAGTGTGTATGAAGTGGTATCTCATTTACTTATGCCTATCTTTATTTTATAATCACCTTTAATAAACAATTGCTACTTGTATAGGAAAATATTTTCAAACACTGAAGGCATGGGAAAATTCTTACAGTAAGACAAGTGAAGAAAGTTAGTCATTCCAGGCAACCGCAATTTTGTAAAAATATTTTGCTTCAAATAATAGCTACAAATGATTAAGTGCCTCCTTCCTGCCAGACTCTGTGCAGGGTATTTGGCGCCATTCTTTTGTGTAGCCCTCACAGGGCCTTTCTAAGGGCTGAGAAGGTACACTTGAGGAGAACTCAGTTACTTGCCCAAAGAGCTATGAATTGAGCCTTGGGGTGTGCCCCCTTCTGGCTCTCACTGCCTCTCAGAGTGGATGGAAAGACATCAAATGGTGTATAGTGTTGATCCATTGAGGGGGGAGGCGAGGCACCAGAGATGTCTGTTTCTTCTTTTATGTGTTCTAATACCCCCTCCCTTCCTTCTTGAATATGTATGAATTACCTTTATAATCCGTCAAAAACAAGCAAATCACCCAAAATTTAAATAATGTAGTAAACTAAAACTGTATTTGACTGTATAGTCTTTATATTAATCAGTGCTGTTTGTCTATCCATAAAGGGCTTGTAATTCAATATTCATTGCATTAGAGAAAAGTCAAGAAGCAATTGAAATTACTAGTGAAGATCACATTATACAGGTTGGTTTATTTGGAAATTTGTCCTTCTGGGTCTCTTATTCTGTTTGCTTTCATTTTGAGCATTGTACCCCTCTGATATGATTTTTTTTTTATTCTGAACATTATGAGATCATTTTTTCCTTTGAGGATTATCAGAACAAAATATATAAAATATAATTTAAATTAAATTCAATATAACTAAGAAAAGATAATAAAGATGAAGGTGCTAAAAATGTTAGACATGCCACATTTAGATTCATATTTCTGTTTATGTAAATATTTACACTTAAGGAAACTTATTAGAAATAACTAAAAAAATCTTAGAAGTAGGGGTGATTGAATAAATTACCGTTGATTAACAAGTAGTTTTATGTAAGTGACTTGAGATTAATAATTTGTACTTTAGCTAATGTGAAAGAGTTATGCCAGAAACATATTCCTTTTGTCTAAGAAAAATTATCTCCACTGTGATGTTTGTTCTTGGCCCTCCAGTTATCACAGTTTTAACTTGTACCTTTCTTGGTACAGAGTCGATAGCATCACCATTCGGGGATCATTGCCTTTGTGTCAGGCTGGTTTGTGCAGTTTTGCATCTGTTGTCATGTCTGTACGAATAGGTAGGAATGATAATATCAGCATCCCCACTTACCTTCATAAAGATGTTCTGAGGACTGAAAGTCCTTACTGTAGTGCTTAGCAAGGAAAACAAACTTTGTTGAGCAATGTAAATTATTGTTCTGGCAGCATTATTACCAAATGCATAGTTTTCCCATATATTTTCTTCTAGTTTTATAACCCCATTTGAAATTTAACCATGAAGCCCTACGTTTATAAACACTTCTAGTTCGTAGCATGCTTCCTACACATACAACTCATTTGAATCATATGAGATAGGTAAAATAAGGAAAAGTAGAGTCTGAGTCAGTTCCTGGGTGGTGTAAATGGTTTGGCACTCAGCTACTAGCCACCCAGAAGACAGCTCTGGCAATCTGTTTCCAAAAGGTGGCCGTTTTGAAAACCTTTTAGGACAGTTCTACCCTGCATGCACAGAGTCAGAGTTGATTCTGTGGCAACTAACAACAGTGTGGTGCTACATTTCATTGTATCACAAACAACTCTTTTGGAGCAGTGTCCTCCACTGTCATTGTTGAAAGCTTCTCTGGACTCCAGGGTTCTTCTCTGAGTGTGCTCTTGCAGTTTTAGAACCGCCTTGCTGAGGGCTGCTTCCTGTACTTTCTGGAGAGTCAATGTGATGGCTTTGGTTGAAGATCCTTAATTGCCCTCCTTTCAAAAATGTCTTTTAAATCCCTTGATACTTTTTTCCCCCCTTTGTCTACCCACCAGTATGCAAATCCTGCTTTTGAAACAACAATGGGCTATCAGGCCGGTGAATTAATAGGCAAGGAGTTAGCTGAAGTGCCTATAAATGAAAAAAAGGCTGACTTGCTCGATACTATAAATTCATACATCAGGATTGGCAAGGTAAGTAAGAGGTCAGTACCTTTTTCACTTTTAAGTATCAAGCATTGCACATGCCTGGTAATGTCAGTCTTACTCTTCCCAACCACCTGAGGACAGGTAGGAAGTTTTATCTCTCATCCCCATATTGCAGGTGAAGAATCTGAGGCTAGGAAATTATGTGATATGATTAGTTCATATGCACAATGACTTTAAGATTTAAAAACACCATTTTCATTTTTGTAATAACTAATCTAAGTGGTGGATGCTGGTAAATGGTTCTGGGTAAAGGACTGGCAATAAGGCAGCATAGCCTCAGAACTCAGCACAGCAGTTCACCGAGCCTCATCCACTCATTTCACATTTTTTGGGTGCTAGGCATTATGCTAGATTTTGAGACAAAAAGAAGAATAAATGAGAATGATTCCTGCCCTCAGTAAGTTTTCAATGTGATGAGCAAAGCATCCCAGTCATTCTTGGTGCTTCCTGTTGAGCTCGTGTTCACTGTCACAAGTTGCGTATGAAAAACAAACAGGAAAACCATTGCCCAGTCATTCTTGGTGCTTCCTGTTGAGCTCGTGTTCACTGTCACAAGTTGCGTATGAAAAACAAACAGGAAAACCATTGCCACCAGGTCGAGGCCAGTGCACAGCTCACCTTCAGGACATGGTAGGCTCTCATCTTTCAGAGTGCCACATTGTTTCCCTTCAGAGTGACTGGTAGGTTCAAGCTGCCGACTTTTCAGTTAGCAGCTGAGCACTTAATCACTTGCCACCAGAGCACCTATCGAAGGATGGGCAGAGATTTAGCAATCTATTTATTTTAAACATAGAAGTTGGTGACCTGTTCTTTCATCCCTCTAGAGACACCAGTGGAGAAAGGACACCCTCTCCCCTGTGGCCTTTGACTCTCCCATAGTACAGTTGCCGAGGGTTCTTGTGAATATTGACCTTCACCTAGAAGGGAATCTGACATGGCCCCAGTGTACCTTGATCTGATGACATTCCAGGTTTCTATCCCAGGAGATGCGAGTGGATAATGAAGAGGGCATTTAGAACTGTGAAAACAGCTTCTTCCTTCCACTGGGGCTTGCTGTTGGGGACCAGGTACCAAGGGCCTCAAACTTGGACAACAGGAGATCTATTCCCTAAAATCTATATTTATGTGAACAGAGAGATGAAAGGTTGTTATACTATCAGTCCCTATCCTGCTTTTTTATCCTACTTGGTTATGTTATGCATGTTTTGAAGTTCTTTGAAGTGCCAGAAAAGCAGCCACTTGCCCTTTTTTAGCAAATGGATGGTGTACTGGCCACCCCTACAGCAAGCAGGCTGGTTTGCTGTCCTAAATATGTATTTATTTAACTTTCAAATGTGAATTGAGTGAGTTTACAGGGCACATCAATTTCCACTCAACACTTTTTTTTAATCATTTTATTGGGGGCTTTTATCACAATCCATGCATCTGTCCATTGTGTCGCACACATTTGTACATATGTTGCCATCACCATTTTCAAAATATTTTCTTTCTACTTGAGCACTTGATATCAGCTGATTTCCCCCACTCCCCCATCCTTTCTCTCTCATGAACCCTTTATAAAGGGTTATTTTATAAATTTTTTTTTCATGTCTTATACCGACCGCTGTCTCCTTTCACCCACTTTTCTGTTGTTCGTCCCCCTGGGAGGGGGTTATATGTAGATCATTATGATGGTTCCCCTTCCCTACCCACACCTTCCCCTTCCCTTCCTGGTATCGCTACTCTCATTGTTGGTCCTGAGGAGGTTATCTGTCCTGGATTCCCTGTGTTGCAAGCTCTTATCTGTACCAGTGTACATATGCTTTGGTCTAGCCAGATTTGTAAGGCAGAATTGGGGTTATGGTAGTGGGGTGTAGGAAGCATTAAAGACCTAGAGGAAAGTTGTGTATTTCATCGGTGCTATACTGCACCCTGACTGGCTCATCTCATCCCCTTTTGTAAGGGGATGTCCAATTGTCTACAGATGAGCTTTGGGTCTCTACTCTGCCTTCCCCCTCACTCACATTGATAGAATTTTTTGTTCTGGGTCTTTGATGCCTGATACCTAATCCCATCAGCACCTCGTGA